GTGAAACTTGGGGCACAGTTCGATGTCACAACAGTTGAAGTATGATACCTTTTCGATCATTGCGGAAAGCACGCGCACTTGATAGGCACCCCGAGAAAACCCTAAGCGATTCAAAAACTTTGAGTCGAGCCAATAGCCCATGCCAAGCAACATTGAGCTGAACCGACGCACCGAACAAGAATATGCAATCTCCATCTTGATAATTGTCGCACAACCATCGGTAAGCACTCAGCAAAATCCGTTCAAACCTCCTGCGAATGGACGATCGGATGCTTTAGCTTCGAGCCTGCGGTGCAAAAATAAGAACGCGCGTGCCATGCTATAGCCAGGTCAATGGTATGGCCGATACGCTGTTTATAATAGTCCCACGAACGCCAGGAGGGCGTGGCGTACGTTCCTATTCCACTGTTGTAGAAGGTGAGCTGCTTCTCTGGGTCCTTTACTAATCGACTGTAGAGCTCGACGACGTTGGTATTCTGTCAGGCAAGTCGGGCTTAGGCCCTCTAGGAGAATATGTACGTTTTAAGTACATACCTTGCGACCGAACTGGTTAGCGGTGCCGTCAATACAGACCACAAGGTTCCTTGTTCGACTGGCATGTTTGGAACATGCAGTGAGTCGTCGAGGTTGAGCACCCGGAAGATTTGGGGAAGAGGATCCGTTCAGCGGTTTTCCAGAAGTGGGGTGTTTCGCGTCCATGCGTAAGGTAAAGAGCCGGAAGGAAGGAACACGGTATTTGTATTAATGTTGAGCTTGACGGAAAGACTTGTGATAGAACTAATAGAAGCGGGGAGGTAGTGAGAGTGCGTGGAAGTTAATGAGCGGCTTTCCTTCAAGCCAACTGAGAACCTTGCATTCCAATGAATAATACAACGCAGCCTGAAGCTCAAATCGACAATCGATTAATTAAGCGCAGGACCGTAAGCACCCAATAAATACCTATTAGTCATTGACCAGACGGCATGTATCGAGAAATCATTAACAGCAGAACGCTTCTCTTAAGTCACATAATACGACGGCAGATCTCGCAAAATGAGGAGCCATGAAGTTTTGGCATGTTTGAGGACCGTAAGCGCCCAATAAATACCTATTAATCATTGACCAGACGGCATGTATCGAGACATCATTAACAGCAGAACGCTTCTCTTAAGCCACATAATACGACGGCAGACCTCGCAAAATGAGTGCCATGAGGTTTTGGCATGTCTGTCAATGAAGGTCTTCATTCAGGCCGTGCTGTAGAATCCATACTTAACCTAGTACCGTGACCAGATCGAGATTGGCAGTTTTACTGAAGACCGTCAGGACTTGTTGAAAGTCATACAGTCGGAGTGAATCACTTAGTTTGAAAGACTATGCAACCTTGATGCAACCACCAGTGCATCACCACCGGTTCACAGGAATTGAGAGGTTTAACACCAAGAGAAAACGACCGTTCTCCTTGAGGCGCAAGCATGTATCCTTCGCCAAAGGAGCAACACATTCTCCCATTGCGCGCGGGGATTTCCGAACGTTTTCAGCAGGGTGTGTGACACTTTCTCATAGAGTCATATTATTGACATCCACGGTGAATGAAAAGCTTCGTGGACACGTTTATGACTCTATATTCAACCCAAGAACGATAGATCTGGCGTTTATCCTATTAAAAGGCTTCAAGGCCTGAGGAACATCAATCATATGCCTCCTAGTATGGTGCTCGTACACCGGAGATCGAACTGCAAAGTTCATCCATGTCACGAGTGAGCCATGGACGGCAGGTACCGCCTTTCCGGCGGGCATGATGTCTTATCGTAAGATATTTGACCGGCTTAAACGGTAACCCATTAGATGGGCTGGCCGTCTAGATGACTCTGATACCGGAGCCTTGTCAAGAATTCGATAGCCTTTCACCTGTTCAAAGCCTCGCCACCTTCCAAACCCTCTCAGTCGATGTACGTCGTGCATGGCATACCAACGTCCATGGACCTGCAGAATAAAATAACGCCCTGAGAACACATTCTTTGAAAAGTGTTTGAGAAAAGATGGGAGAAACCGAAAGCCAATGTGCGTACCGTCCCAAATAGTATATACATGAGATACCATTCCAGGGCCGGCCATTTTTCGAGTTATATGTTTCGAGTTAGGTGAAGTGAATATTTGGTCTTATGTTCGAAGAAGAAAGGAGAGCACAGCTCTGATTGATGATAGACGGAAGAGAATTCGCAACTTCGCGCCTGACCTTGCATGGACCGTGCAGGAGATGTGACTCAGAGAGTTTGACTTCAACTTGCGCCATCTCATTCCCTAATCTCCTAAGCATGTGCACCTGCAATTATCTAGATAGCAATCTTGACATTAAAATTCGGATCTTTGTCAGAACCCCAGCAATGAGAAACTAGACGCAGTCACCTGAACCCTCTCCTCGATCTCACCCGTCATCGCCCCTATGGCTTGGCGCTTAAAGAGCTTGGATCTCCAATTGGAAACTTCTATGAGTGGTATCGACCCTTTTACTAGGGTCGCATTACTTTGGGAACATTATCTCTGATTATAACACGCTCATCCGGCAAAGGTCTATTACCATCCACTCTTCTCTCGCATCGAATACCCAAAATCAACACCACGATAATCAACCCCTTCATACCCGCCGCTACGGCCTCCCTTCCCAGGAATCCTTGTCTCAGAAACATTCCTCACGACCTGAGGGCTTGAACTATTCGAGGCCAACGGATCTACCATACTCGGTCTTCCCGTCGCTACCACAGGCGCATATTCATACCCATTCCTCTCACGTATCGGTCCAAATCTCCCACCAACAGCACCCGTTGGACCGGGAGACGGAGGCACTATCGTCCCTCTATCAAAGACCTTCGAATCCTGTTCTCCCCGTCGATACTTCCAGAAATACCACCAGATTGCCAAACCAATCCCGGCCACTGCGATAACCACACCTATGACAATTCCTGCGATAGCTCCCTCGGGGAATTTCGAATTCCCTTTGGACATCGACATCGCACCACTCGAGCTCGACTCCGACGTCGGTGAAACGGTGGGATTGAGATCGGTCGTGGCAATCGAAGTTGAGATTGAAGTGCCGATGTTACCAAAACACGGATAAAACGCTTGTTCTCCTTGAGTGCTGAGCTGCTGTGATAGATATTCGTTTGACCATAAACTATGTTATATATACACGTTGGTGAATAGCAGGTTGCTTCGATGGAGGAATTGTACAACTCACTAAAACCACGAGCCTTCTTTCCAAAAGGTTCCATCATACAACCCTCTAAAAATCCTCATGTTTCGGGAGCAAGCTTCTTCCTGAACAGTCATTGGTAGCCTATCAGATGAATTCAATCGTTAGAGCTTCAATTCTCGAGTGGCTGATCACCGAAGAAGAAGAAACAGCACAAAATGTGTACGTACGCTTGAAACGACTGCGGTTCACACTCCCCTTCATTCGACCCTTGTGCTAGGTACATTTGATACGTTCCTTTCTCTACAGACGCCCGTCATGCGTGTAATCAGAAAAGCATGATTTGAGTAACTCAAAATGGCAAGGGGGAAAAATAATTCAGAAAACCCACGAGCATCAACTCCAAACCCATATTCCCCAAGCCCCATTTGACATGTAAAACAAAGCATTCTCAGCGAGAACGCGATATTATTACAACAACATTCCGCTACGAGAATGAGCTGAACTCAGCGCAACAAAACTCTCCAAAATTTAAACGGAAGAAGCGGAACGGACCGTTGGGATCAGTACATCTATCCTGTGGTTCAGCGTCCTTCAACGATTCTGGGACTGTGTCTAAAAAATAGACGGTAGATCATGTTGAATAACCCCCGCGGTCGTGAAGAGGATGGAATCAGCGATAGTACAATTTGCAAGAAGTATTGTGTGGGGAAAACGTACAAGACGGATTGCATATCCTTCTCAGTCTTTCGTACGTTTGACCTAAATAAATCAAATTTCAACACAAGAAAAAGACAGAGGAATAACTCACAAGGCGTCTCCCCAACGGCATTATTATACCAATCTAACCCCGCATCTGAACATCTCTCACTCGCTCCGAGTACACTCAGCGGTGCCGTCAGTAAAGAAACCCAGATTGAGTAGAGGAAAGGAGAGAACGCATGACACATTTGTGTATCGTTGCAATTGTCTGTGCCTCGGAGGGCAAGTGATAGCGTCGTTCAAGAGGGGAAGAGTGGGGAGTATTGAGCCTACTTATTTTCTGGGGCTGTTCATTTATCATACCCAACGCCGCCGATTTAAAACTGTAGTGTATAGCAATCTTGTTTCGACCACATGGATCCCCCCGCGCATCCTCCCGCGACCCTGATGATCACGAAGCAGTCCAGTAGAAATCACCGTATCGTACGGTGTTAATTGCGAACCGCGGCCCTGCCCCAGTTGGCCATATTTGGCTATTTGGAATGCTTGGAGGGTATGATAAATTCTAAAAAAAAATCAATGAATGATGATGGGCTAGTAACTGCATCGAGTAGAAAGTAATAATTTATCCTGAAACATGAGTGCAGTACATTGAAAGAAAATTAGGATTTCACTTCCAAATAAGTTGTGTGCTTAACAACGCGCGGAACCCGTGAGATGACCGAGAAACCCGGTCTTTTAAGTTTTGATCCTTCACTCATCTCAATATACATAGTGGAGGTGGAGGTTTGAGCTGTCGGAGCCGTACAAATTCATATATCTCGACGGTGAGAGCTACAGCCCAACGTTTGCCTTCTAATTCACCTACGACCTGAAAAGATGATCTACAGCAGAAGACAATATTGCGCCCCGTTTTGCGCGACGAAGGCTGAATAGTAGCTTTTCTCCATGTTTTCCAATGTATGACGATAATTGTTTGTTTGACTGGTCTCATTTGCGCCTGAATAAACCAATTGAAGAAGACTTTAATCTATGTATAACCCATGCAAAGACAGTACAATTCTCCGCATAGAGCCATGGAGGAATCTTACCGAGATGCCGGAAAAACACATTACATGTCAAAAATTTCCGTTACAGGGAATCGAACCCTGGGCTATCGCGTCAACATTACCTGTCCCTGTAATGAGAGGCGATAATGTTAACCACTACACCATAACGGAGGTACACACTTGGCTAAACGCAAGATCCATAAAGTCTGACAATGCCTCGCAGTTGTGTCTCAAACTCGGCGGATTCCACCGCCTGGATAAGATACTCACCGCTACCGACGAATCACTCATTGCCAGAAACGCATAGCTGTCCCATCATCAAAGCCTCAAACAAACACTTCAGACCGATCATCAAGTCGGACTCCTCCCCAATTGGATAGCTGGAAGGACTCGAAACGTTGAGCTTCTCTTTCCAACAAGCGGAGTAGGTTGTGATAGAAGGTAGAGGAATGTGCTGTAGTGTGTCCGGGCGACATTATACAATTGCAGATGGCCTCTTTTGCCCTTTTCACATGGTCTGGATGGACTGTTAAGTGACTGAAACTGTCAATATGGTTCATTTTTTAGGGTGGAGAAAAGGTAGTGGATGACTGGGTTCTCCAGCAGAGATATTGATGACAGAGGTGCAGTTTTGACAAATGGTGATGATTTGAAAATTTGTGGTGGAATGGACAGAATGATAACCATTATAGCCACAGAGTTTTCATTTCTTAGCTTGCACCCCTTCTGGTTGAAGGGCCAGTTCTCAAAAGGAAAAATGAAGAGAGAGCTCACATATCAAAAGGAGATTTAATTCTGCTCATTGTTCAAGCTCAAGGATCAATCACTAAGTTCATAGGATACAACAATCAACCACTGTTTATCTCAACACTGCAGCTGGAGTGTGGTGAAGTGCTGGTAGTGAACACATGAAGACTGGAGCTGAGGCTCAACAGTCGATAGCTAGTCCCAAGACAAAGATGATCAATACAACCCAGTATTCTACAGAGTACAAATACACACCTAGTCCCAAGACAAAGAGGTCAAGATGGGGGACT